TTTTGAGAATTAAATCGATGACAAAGGTAAATAGAAAAGGAGAGAGGGCAACCCTGACGACATCTAGGCTCGTCTTGATCGTTTAATTTCGGGACTCTGTGAATCAATACAACTCGTTTATTTTCCGACTCGCGTACAGCTACTGGGTTTGTGCGATGACGCATACGTTCGGTCCACGGCCGATCAGGAAGTATTCTTGTACGACTGGAAACTTTGCCAAGAGGGTAACTAGAAAGAAGAACGTTCTCGAAGTCTTTCTCATCCTTTAAAGTAACGTGAAGTAATCTGGGTTCCCCGGCGTGAAGTGAGGACGGTTGACGAAAGAGGCGTACGACGCTTACGACGCTCATTGGCTGAACATCAATGTTCATTTGGGCGCACAATGCAGTCCAGTGACCAAGCTCTTCCACTGGTCTCTCCCTCAGTGAAGTTGCTGTCGCCTCTGGTACATTAGTGCAGATAACCGTTAGGGCGGTGTGATCAATAGTCCGCTTGTGGTTTGTTGACTTATGATGTATCTGCCATGTAGATACTTTGGATTCAGTTTGACTCCCACAGCCTGAAATTGAGTCCACATCGTTAGTTGCTGTTATTATCTCCGTACTATGATCAAGTGTGGGCTGCATTGAGTGGTTCTCCAACTCTGGAACAATACTTGTGTTTCTCGTTGTTTTTGGCACGTTACTAATTTCAGCAGAGCGTATCAGGTGCGCTGGATCAGAGCTACTATGGGAAGACCTAAAACGCTTTGTCGGCCGCTGGATTGGGCTCACAGGGAGTAATTGGGAATTCAGGGAAGCTATCCTATATTCCAGTGCTCAAATTCTAGTGTTTGACTTTTCCTCAGCAGCCAGTTATGACTTTTCGTATCTGTTCGAGATGCTTATTATACATTTGATAACAGGAGTATTCAAGCAATCCGTACAAGATCATAAACAATCTGGTTGTGCAGCCATCCGTTTTGCCTGCTTACTCGATAGTTTCGCGCACTAGGGGTGAATCCGACATTAGGTGCACTGGAATCGGTCGGTGCACACACCGATACGACAAATAAGCACCGAAGCTTCATTCTGTAGCTGTTGACTCCTGCTGAGCCGTTGAGACGTACCGTGCAAACTCGGCTACTGACTGGAATCCAGTCAAGAAGCGAGCACTTCGCCTTGGCACTCAGCGCAATCCCAACACCAGCAACACCGTGAACTTCAGATGCCGAATCCTTCGACATGCGGAAGGTGAAGAGTGAGGTCGAGGTTAGGTTAGGAGAACGTAGGAAAACTAATTGAAGTAGGGTCTTGTATGCGTGTTTCGGAGACACAACATACATCTAAATGGAAGGTTTCAAGGTTTCTAGCAAAGCAGCTTGTTGAGCGATCTGGTAGAGTGTGCGAACATTGAACGCGGCTCAATGAAAAGGGAATTTCGGCTTCAAAAAGCATATAACTTCTGATTGATTAGCATTACTCGTAAAACGCTGAGTGATATCCGATGGGTGGTGTAAACAGGTATTTGGGATTGATCGGAAGAACTAAACAGATGGGAAAGAGATTTCTCCCAATGGGTGCCTAAGGCTTTAGGGCACGACATACCTTGCGGTAGCCCATACCGACGAAGGGCTCAATAGCTATCCTGAAGGACAGTTATTCACGCACCATAGTAACACATCGAACACTCCATCGGTTAATCCTGGAGTGGATAAGAGTGCAATACTTTCTTTTTCTTTTATTTCATTTTTGTGATTACATTTGAATTAGAAAGACCACAGCCAGCGTAAAACGTAAAACGCTGAATGATATCTGATGGGTGGTGTAAACAGGAGGTATTTAGGATTGACCGGGGTTGCGGGGAAGAACTTTGGGGCACGACATGCCTTGCGGTCACCCACACGGACGAAGGGTTTTTTATTTGGGAACCCTAACCGGAGTCTTTGACCCAAAAGTCTGACCAGCTAGGCAACGGGAATACCTGAAATGGGGTGATCTATGCTTGTTTCCCAGATTGCGTTCCCCGTCAGCATAAAGGCAGAAAGTCATGGACGCATACGTCCACATTGAAGGTGTCAAAAGTTCCAGATAAACCGACGTGTGAGTATGCCAATGTTGAATGCAGCTAGATGAGTAGAACATCTCGGTTTGATCAATTTACTGGCTTCTGTTTTGTTTCCCTTACTAGTTGAAATCCCAGTGATAGAAACTCGAGACATTTGATATGTTTTGATAACGAGAAGATCTAGTCAAGGTGTGTTCCAAATGGTTACTGAAAACTTGAAGCCTCGCATTACTTCGCGGCGGCCTGTTTTGACAACGCGAAGCATTCATGTCGGACCTCATACAGACCAGTCGCGTAAAGCCTTTTGGTTTTTGCTTACTGCTCGCGGGGGCGTTGGTTATCGTCCGCCGTTTGGGATTAGCGCTCAGCCACGTGCACCACTGAACAGTAGGTCCTCGTGACTATGGGGTGCGCTCCGTCTGCTGTTCATCACACTTAGATGTGTAATAAAAATCTTCGGTTTAAAGCCTTGGAGACCCTGCTCCTAAGTCAGCCAAGTGGTGCTTTTACTCGGTAAGTTGCCCCTCCCCAAGTTTTTTTCCCCACTGGAGTAACCTCTTCAAAGTCAGAGGTAAATGATTGGCAGTCAATGCACCAACCACGGTGATACCGCAAACTTACTTTATTGCTCCGATTCTAGCGACAGATATGAACTCAACCACACAAGCGTCAAAGCCAGAGGAGGCTGTTCATTGAGGTTTTATTTTCTGAGGCCAAGCCTTCCCGTCTTATTTGAATACGGACTGTCACATCACATGCAATAATGCTATCATCACAGCAGCCAACGGGTTCGCGAACAAATTCCCCTCAGTAGGCAACATCTTCTGAATAAGCGACTTGCACGATTCACGACTGGGATGAGTTCATGTGCCCGCTGGTGCTTACGCGATGTGATCGCAATTTGCTCCACGTATCTAGGTTTGATCGTGATACAATGGTATGCAGAACACTCGATTAACTGATTTATTGGGTTGTTTCCGATGAATTTTTAGATTGATTAAAAACAAATGGTCCTTTTATAACACAATGGTCATATGCTTTATTTCAGCTGATTTTTTGAATGGGGATAACCGGTTTGTTGCCTTTTTTAAAGAAGGCATCATGCCCTGTAAACATCAAAGAATTCAGCGGTTATACAGCGGCTGTGGATGTTTACTGCTGGTTACACAAATCCTCCTACGCATGTGCGATGGATCTTGCTCTTGGAAATCCTACTGATCAGTAAGTGTCAGCTAAATAATGGACGGTTTCTTTTCCTCTCATCAACAGATATGTCCGGTACACATTAAAATATCTAGACTTACTATTGTCCCACAAAGTGAAGCCAATTCTGGTTTTTGATGGGGCTAACCTACCGTCCAAATCGGACACTGAAAAAAAGCGTAGAGAGTATGCAAGATTAATATTTTGAGCACCTAATCATCCCGTTCAGAAGTAAGGAAGCTTATAGAAAGAAGGCTGCCGAACATCTTCTACGCGGTGATCGTGAGGCGGCACAAGAGTGTTTCCAGCGTTCAGTGTTCGTCACACCTCAGATGGCAAATGATGTGCTTACAGTAAGATGATTTATCTAGCCACACTGTTATCGGTTTGTGTTGAGACAACTTCCTGTATTGCTTGTGAGTTTCAGAAAACTAAAGATATGAATGATTTAGTTCCTCTTCGAGGATAGTTGTTTATTGTACATTACAGTTAGAATATCAATAATTTGGCATACATCACAAAGCATCTCATTTGAGACGTCATCACAATTCCCGGCAGCACTCATGGTAGTGAACAGAACAGTCCGTAGTTGTTCTTTGGAGCACAGCAATTCGCCTAAGTGGCGTTGTTTATTTTTGACCGTTGAAATAAACCGCCAGTCGCATCTTTTTGAGAACTAGTCACAGCTCTGAGCCACCATAGTTACCATAGGTCAGAAGTAATAACCGTACACCATAAGAATCCATTGTACTTGAAACCCAACAGTGTCAGTGGTCATCATCATCGTACAGCAAAATACAGTGAAGCGAGCTTCACTGATCGTTGCCAAATTCGCAATGCATACAAGGTTAATGGTAATATTTAAGGTGGATAAGGAATGGACCTATTAAGAAGAAGGGGGAAGAAGGTAAACCTCTATGTTCAACACACAGTACACAATCTAAGTGTGCGTACATACCGCTTCAAGCATTCGGGAGAAAAACCGACAAGTCCCGACCTGCTAGGATCAAAGTAGAGTTAGGTGGCATCTACAACGTCAGCTTACGAAGAGCCTCAAGAAGGACCGTGAACACTTGTGGGTAACAATAGCTAAGGAATCGTAAGTAGCAGCTGCATCAGGGAATAGTCAAGGACTGTTCCGACTGATACACTATGCCGGAGTTCGGCGAACTGCAGTTAGTGAAACGGTCTGGTATAGAATAGGACAAGCTATTCACAATAGGGATGAACGACGTGATCTCTGAGCAAGAGCAGAGCTCTATGCTACCGAGCGTGTCCCCAGGTCGCGGATAGGGGAACGGCCGTCATCCCGCGGCTAACCGTGCCGAAGGTGGGTTTATTCTCTGAATAAGCGGTCGCGGACGATTAACAGCAGCGCTCGAAGATGTGGTGGGTTTACCTCCTGGCAAGGGTTTTCCGCACAAAACACCACAAATATCTGTGAATGGCGCTGTGACGTGGCGAGTGTGGCCCGCCACTTAATATGGCCATTGCTTCTTGCCGCCCTCCTGGATTGGATCCCAATCAACAGTAGATTGTGCGCAGTAGGACTCAGAGGTTCGTGCAAGGTAAGCAGCCGTCTCAACGATAGACGAAACTTGTTTGTCGTATGGGCGTACGCTCCGACGGATTACACCCCAGATTCAGTCAAAAATGAATTTTACCACAATCTACGTGACCTCTTGCGACTAGCGACGGAGGGTGATATCGTGATTTTAGCAGGAGATATGAATGCTAGTTCGTAGCGTTCTTTACTGTTGCGGGGCCTGGCTCCTCCGCACTGAGGATGCTAATCGATTTTCTGTATTCGACCACCGATGTCTCTGAAACATTGCTTCTGTCTGGTGGGAATACGGGGTGAGTAATGACGAGGCTCGTCGTCGTGTGCTGTGTGCGGATAGCCGTTCTCTAACAAAAGTAATCGCTCTACACCGCCTTCGATGGCTTGGTCACGTATTGCGTATACCTGCTCACCGACTATCTTTCCGTGCTCTCTTTGCATGCGCCGGACAAGGCTTGAAGAAGCGGCACGGCGGTCAGTCCATGACATGGTTTAGAGGTGTGAAGAAACTGTCTTCAGTTTTGGCTTCGGTTGGTGGAGCTCGCCTTCTAGGCCGGGGCCCAAGGAGTGAGATTGTCGTTGGTTAGAGACGCTAAAGATGTGGCCTAGAATAGAAGTTAGTGGCGCGAATACTGTGCGGTTTGCCTTTTGAAATCCCGTGCCCCGTAATAAAAAAGGAACAAGGAACAACACAAGAAATATATAAAAGTATACGGTAAAACACAAAAAATATTTTATCCCAGGTATCTACCATTTTCCCATGTTTAACCGTTGCACCCTCTCTGCACTTTGCTTTGTATCCCAATCCACTTACCCCCTATTA